TAACCCAGAAATAAGTGTTTTGAATAAAGATACCCTGAGGAGTTTTCTAGTAAACATGTTTTTAATGTTACTCACTTTATAAACACGTTGAACTACTGCTTCCTCATCAAACATTTGCAAAGCCACTTATTTTAATATTATGATTTCTGGATTGTTTCCATCGATATGTTCTATCTTATAGTCTCTTCGTTGCATTTTCAGGCACACCACCACGTTTACCTGCGCATTACCACCACCAACTGTTGAGCAGTGAAATAGCTTTAAATGAGAAGGATGCCATAAGTGTACGACTCGCGTGTCCATGCATGCCCAAACAAACCTATGTCCTGAAAATAATAAGAATTATATTGCATGTCACTTCCTCAACTTGAGATGAGGAAAAATTGCGTAAGGGCTGCTTTTGCCTCGAGAAAATATTGCTAAAAATGTCACAAATATCATTTTAGTATTCTTCAGAGCCATTAGGAAAGTAGACTCATATTTATGATGGGAGTTAATTATTGTTTTAAATTATAATTGTGGTAGGAGAGGTGCACTTTATAAACTGTGCAATACCAGCAACAGCAGCTGAGCATAAAGATAGAGGGGGAAGAATTTAACCCTGAGTGAGCCTGTAAAACTTCTTGGAAGAAGCAGGATGTAAATGCTAATTAGCTCGGCCAAGGATGTCATATTATCGTCTGTTTATTGGTATTTTTGTTGGAGGGATTTTCATTAAACTTAGTGGAAGGCTGTTGCACTGGCCAAGGAAGAACCTATTACATTTTAAAGCTGATAACAAAGGGCACATACACAAATGATGTTTTACTTTAGTTAACATTGCATGATTCATGTGGTCAGAATAACCGTAAAAAATAGTTCCCTATTTGGAAAATTCACATGAATCGACTATCAAGTTGCAACAACAGCTAGTAAACAGCTTTCATCATGTTGTTTAAAGACATTGATATATAAAATACAACATATCTTACAGTCCATTTCGTTTCCACATTACGATTTAGAGTTCATGATCATACCAAAGTTGGAATAACTTCTTCCAAACTCGGTAATTGGGAACATTTTCAGGATCATGTGAATGCAACAACCCTGACGAGTCCCATTTTAGTTCTTAAAGTATCCAACTGATCCCAGAAAGATTCTATACTCTAGGTTAAACAGTCTAAATAGGGCCTTAGTGGGTGGTAGGCAGTGGATGGGTGTGCAGAGGAAGGGATAGTTGAGTCAATATTTACCCAGAGTAATTGGTCTACACTTCCCCCTGCAAGATACAGAGACGTCCAGCGTCATCCCTGCCTTATCTCCTCCAGTTCTCCCTCACACACTCACCATGTGACCACAGTTGCACACAGCAGTGTTGTGCAGCTTTGCAGAATGCCCCGAGATATTGTCAACATAATAGTGAAACGCATATATGAAGGAGTGAGTCGCTGTGCATTGAAACTGTCATGTCCATTAAAGATATCTAGGTGACCTTGGGAGTGTTGCAGTGCCCACAGAGAACCTTTGTGCGTTATTATTCTGTTAACAAGCTCACAGAGCAGTCTGTAATGAGCTGTGCAGCCACACTTACTGTGGTAATGAGGTGGGCATGTTGTACCTCAACGTTGAACCGCTGTTACTCTATGATAGAAGGACAGGTAAAGCAATAAGATGTGTCGAGCCTGCTGAGGAACTCACAACCTGGATGCAAGAAGTGTTGCAAATAGTTGCCATAGGTGGTGTCAGAGACTCATGGGAAAAGATGAGCTGTCTGCTGCTAACCTTCTTTATTCATTATTTCAGCCGTTTCTCAAACTCATACAGCACATAGTGTCCTCTCTCTGCTCACTCTCTTTCTCAAAGCAACTCTCCAGTTAACCTGATGCCTCTCGAACCACCGACGCTTTGAAGTGACTCCACCCGGCTTCCTCCTATCCTTGTTCTTTGTGGGTCTGAATGTAAATGTAAATGTTTTTGTTTATTTGTTATGTTGACATTGAGTGGCCCTAACTCTAAAGAATCTGAGGCAAATTCCCAAGTATTGCACCGCTTTTGAGGCTGCCTAAATAAGACTAAAATAAATTGTTTGATTGTCAAAGCACCTTAAAAGGGAGAAGTGCCTTCCTACTGGTGCAGCACAGCAAATAGCATCTCGCCGCTACTGTGCAATTTGCACATATTCAAAGGAAATAATGTGAACAATTTGCAAAAATATTATTCAATTTTCTCTGCCATTGTTTTGCATAAAAGGCTGCACATCTTCGGTGTTGAATTAAAACCCACCTGTTTTGACTGTACCTTGGCTGATACAAACAATCAAAAGTATGATGTATTACTTACAATGGTTTGTCTTATTTAAAATGAATGCACCAGCTCTTCATTGTGAATGCACATGTTGTACGTTTCTTTAGATACAAGTGTCAGCCAATGAAATGTAATGTAAAAAGGACCCTCTAGATCAGGGGTATCAAACTCAATTTCATCACGGGCCACATCAGCATCATGGTTGCACTCAAAGGGCCGGTTGTAACTTTAAGACTATATACATATACATATATAAATATTTAATATATATAAAATAATGTATTATCTTACATGATTGCCTCTGCATTGGATTATTATCGGATAGGGTAATAACTTCATAATTAACTACGTCTGAAAGCAGAAGTCTAGGGCAAACAATTGCAAGTCTCTTTCAGTGCGCATGTCACAAAATGATTTAAAAAGAAAAGCCAAATTCTGAAAAAAAAAAAAAAATAAGTAACATTTTGAAAAAAAAAGTAAAGTTTATAAAAAAATATATATATATTCCGAGAAAAAAGTCTAATTTGAGATGCATTGTGGGGCATGTAGTTTATGGGCAATGTGCTTCTGTAAAGCCGCATGTAACTGTATAATAAACATATGATATTCTTTGTAAGCTCTTGTGGGGCCACATGAAATGAAGTCGCGGGCCGGATTTGGCCCCCTGGCCATGAGTTTGACACCCCTGCTCTAGATATATACAAAAACAAATATAACTAAGAAATATTGACACTTTTAAACCCTCAAAGTAGCTTTACCTTTAATCTTAAAAGAAAAAGCCTTACATTACATACAATATAAAAAAGGAGTCTTATAACGCTGCTTAAAAGGAGTCATTTTGAATTTGCAGTATTTACCTTTTATATGAGAGGTATACTTCTGTGGTAACTGTGTCATTGTTCCTCTCCCTCCATTTCTCTCTGGAGTGTGCAGCTCTGTAAATCCCATTGTCAAAAAGGAATGAACAAACAAGGATAGGAGGGGAAGAGCCAGGGGAAACGGCGGTGTTTTCTCAGATAGATAAAACAAAATTGAGAGTTGGTCGTGTTCGCACATACCTGAATGGATGTTTATATATCGAACAGGCTCACTGTGGCAAATTGCTGTCTACAAGAAATGGTCTCTGCAACCATTGGGATTGGTGTTATTCATCAACATTTTTATTTAACGTGTCCTCCCACCATAGAGAAATGGAAATTGGACCGCTTTCAAGTCCTCATAAATTACAAGAGCCTTTTCTCCGTATCACTCACTTCCCCTTCTGTTTATTGCAAGAGACAAAAGAGGGGTTTGCATCATCCCCACAGAGGATCAGAGGGGTTGTGCTGTCTCATTCAAGGGAGAAACTACTGTTTCTACAACCTGCTGCGATACAAGCAGGAGAGGGGTGATGTAAGAACAAATGATATCTATGTGTCAGTTACTCAGCTGTACCGAGGGAACGGGCTACATCTAGTCAGTGAATATCAACTAACTGCGAACCATGAGCTCTGGTTATGAATTCAGACAACATTCAAAGGTCAAGGCTTGCTCTCAAATTCTACCGTCGTACAATGGATCCCTCAGTAATGAATACTGCCTTGCCGAGAATGTAATGACGAAATAGAGAAAACAAACCCTGCACTAAGTGAACACATTCATCTGGTTTATTTTTAAATATTGAGAGAACAGAAGAAGCACCTTCTCCTTAAACAGCGTTATTTGTACATTGTATTTAATGTCTTTACATCCCTATGAAGAGTGTTTCAATGGTCAGTTAGTAATGGTAATGTAACTGGATGTAACTGTTCAGTGTAGCACCTTTTATCATTTTCACACCGCTGCTCTTCCAAATTGGAATCGTGTAAGAAAGGGAGATAGTTTATAGAGTAACCCAATCAGTCAATTTACTGGTTAACCACACTGTCAATTCCGACTTACAGGTCCACACCTCTTGGCAGCCGGTACTCCTCCTGCGTATAATGAAGTGGCCTACACCAGCTGAGCCCAGTTTCAGCACCGCAGCATGAAAGTGCCCCCCCCTGCTCTGTCCGGAACTCCTCATTACCGCCCTATAGTTTTGTTTACGAGCTAAACTCTCCACTGCATAGTGTCAAACCCCAGCCAAAAGGCCATGTTTCACATTCCAGCCCATTATGCCACAGCTGCACTGCGTCAACCAGGACTGCCCGGAACAAGCTTGGGGCACATGCTCTCTGATGATTACGTTTTATTTTAAGTCTGTGTGTATCTGTGCATCTGTGTCCAAGTCGTAAATAAGGGCTTTGCTTATATGTGTGTGTTATTTTTAGTGTTTGGTCCCCTATCTGCCCCATTTAAGATAGTGCCCAGCTCTTTATGTTATGCCCACAATGCTGTAAACACTGAAACAACATCCTCTGCTTTTGTATTCATAAGATCATCCTCTGTTTATTTGCCAGCAGATAGATATAGCTTTTTAAAGAGAGCCATTGCCTTGAATATTTTTCTTCCGAGCATTAGAGGATGGATATAATAAAGGTCTTCTGTGTTGACTGTGTTGATGAGCATCGCTCCAATGCAGTATCCCGACTCCTGTTCAATGTCTTTATAGAGTGAGATTTTAATGTCACTGTCTTCTTGTTCTCTCTCTCTCTCTCTCTCTCTCTCTCTCTCTCTCTCTCTCTCTCTCTCTCTCTCTCTCTCTCTCTCTCTCTCTCTCTCTCTCTCTCTCTCTCTCTCTCTCTTTTATCAATCAGAGAGCCAGTCGCTCCCAGGGAACAACTTCACCACAGAGTGCAACATCCCTGGAATCTTCATGTGCAGGGATGGGAAGTGTGTCCCAGGCGGCTGGCAGTGCGACGGATTACCTGACTGCTTTGACAAGAGTGATGAGAAAGGCTGTCGTAAGTTCCCTTTCACACTTCATTATCAAATGCTTTTTTTTCAGCTGTGGCAATATAGCCAGAAAGCCTATATTCAGAGTTACCTCATGTCTCCTCCACTCCTGAACTCTGCCTCTCCCTCTTGCTATCCATGAAGCCATAAGGGCCGTTTAGACTTAATTATTTTCCAACTTAGATGAACTTCCTTCCTCCATCCTCCCTTCTCCCCCAAAGCGTGCACTCGTCCTCTTCCCTGCCAGACTCACGGCCCCAGTTTAACACAAGGGCAACATGTAATACCATCAAAGCAAAGGCCGATTACTTGTGCGTGCAGGAATAGTAGCCCACGCATAATTCTTCTGTAAGGCTCTAGTAATACTTCAGTTTTGATCCTCACTTTTCAGTTGGCTTTGATCTTTCTGGTCTGCTGCTCCTCCTCCTCCCCATCCACGCTGTAGCCGGAGCTCCACACAAAGATGGGATTGCTGATGAAGATTGACTTTGAGGCCCCGCCGCTCTGAATGGAAACCCCTCTCCCCCGATATATTCATCTCTTTAACTGCATCGCACTACCATTTTCACTCATCTCTGCTCCCTATCTCATCAGATGATTTTTGGCTTTTGGCTTGTAATTTGCTTCACAGCCGCTTGTTTCCAATTATAAAAGCATAACCATGTTCCTGCAGAGATTCTTTTTTCCTTTTTTTTACCCAGCTAAATCCCTGCCAAAAAAAATCACATTAAGTTTGTCCTCCATTCTGTCACCTCTCTAATTGTCTCCTTTTCTCCTCATCTCCTCCCCCATCAGTCACTTCTCTCACTGTTCCCTATTGTTGGAAGCTCAAGGAACAGGCAGATTGGTCCTAAACAAGTTGTGTCCCATGATACACACATACAGACACCAGTGGCGAACCGTCAGGGCCTTCAAGGTATTCAGAGAATACCCTGGAACACTCAGATAAAACAAACAAAAAAATCGATTTAATTATATAAATAAAATGTATATAAAATAAATAAATGAGAATCGTATCTGTGTTGTTGATCTGTAATATTACAGTGTTACGTTGATTTGTTTGTCCTTCTCGGACCATGCACAATGCATTTCAGTGGTTTTGTGTTAGAAAAGAAAGCAACCAATCAGATCTTGTTCTGGGTCTCTGGGTAGAATATCCTTCAACCAAGGTATTCTACATCCTTGATAGAATGCCCTGGCCGTCGCACTGAATGAGAGCGTACGTTTGGACTGACAGTTTGATCAATCATATATTCATTTGTAGCCAATGGGCGTATTCTTTCAGAGTTCCCCTCGGTTCCAGGGTACTCTAGAAGGCCCGCTAGTTAACTGGCTCGAGACAGAGGATCTAGATGAATGCGACAAAGCAAGCATGCCGTTTTATTGTTTTTAACGTTGAAATGGCAAGTGCAACAGGTTGTGAGTACCCTTTTCAAGACGACAATTCAGTGAAAAAACGGACATTATAATGCCGCGGCGGGGGGTGTGTGTGTCTACAGAAGGTCCAGTTGTGATAGACACGGTTCGCCACTGACACACTAGCCCACATTCAAAGTTAAAGCAATCAATCTCTTAAGTTTGTGATGCCTTGGTCTTTTTACGTAATACATACATAGGACACTTTTTAAGTGCTGTCCTGGACAATGTTCATCAGTACACCTCTGCTACTGACATCCCTGTTACTTAAAACAAAGTCTCACACTGTATAGATGGATGGATTCTGTGCCCCAGATTCTCAATACTCAATGGCCTTAAACTGTCAGCCACTGTCCAACTTGGAATAAATAATGTTCTCATGCATTGAGACATTAAGTGCTCCTGTTTAATCTAATCACACAGTCCGTGCGTCAGTTTGTAACACTCAAACTCACCTCCAGTACTTTAGCTTTGAATCTACGGACAAGCAAGACTTTTTTATCTGTCATTGACACGACATGCTTTGCCGCTACAGATAAAAGCAAGTTATCATACAGCATCTAAGCCTGTCTCTCCAGTTGTCAGAGGAATATTTGTGTTTGTTGTCAACATGTACATTATCTGCTTCGGCATAAGTGGGCCCTATTATCCTCAAATAGATGGCTAGTTGTCATTCGATATATCCGGCGAGTGCTTTGTGAAAATCCCCAGACAAAGCTCTGGTTCCATTGGGGCTGTGGGACAGACAGACAGGCGGAGAGAGGGGGAGGGGAGGTCTAGAGGAGGACTCATTATAGCTGCTGCAGCAGGAGTCCTGTCTGGATGTCTATTATCTGAGGAGAACACAATGCCTGAAAGCTTTGAGACCGCAGTACTGGAGTCTCTGCAAATAGTGTCATAATTAGGCACCCCCCACTAAGACAACACACAAACTCCCCGTTATATATATATATACATATTTAACAGAGGGAGATGATAGATTTGCAAACTTGAAAGACAGTTTGTTGAAAGAACCTATTCTCCTTCTGTCTGAGCTATATGAATATTTGTTTCAATGCAGACTCCTCAGAACATCTCTTTCAGTTAGTGACATAGAGTGGTGCAGGAATGAGTCCTAAAACCCGAAATAAGTTTTAACACTTCCGGTTCCCTCATCCAAAGATCTATGTTTTTTTAAACATATTTATGGTTAGATGCCTGAAATAAGGTCTGTGGTTAACACAAGTTTTTCACATTTTGTTCTACGACATGAAATACGTAAATACCCCAATGGTGAATATCAAAAGCTTCTACATGTCATAAGAAACAGTGGTTGCTAACAAGTGAATAAATAAACTACTGAACGTCATCATGCCTAGCTTTGTGGTGGTGATGTGCAGCCATGGGACCGTGATGTGGTTTGTTTATTGCCTAACGTTCACTTGTTTCTTCTGGCGATCAGATTACGTCTCACAAATCACAAAGTGATGCTTATTGGTTAACATTATCCTGATGAGTGAAATGTGTTATGTCTCATAAACATGTGTTGCAACCGAGCTTATTTTTCTGCAATATTCCAATATGCGGCAAAATAATCCCATTGCTTTATGTCAAGGGACCCCTTGCGTTGCTAACTTTCGGGTCAGCCTATAAAAGACGTCATCACTGCACCATTCTATTATTGTTTTCACACAGACTTTTCTTATAAATAACAGATGTCTGGCCACTGTCCGTCGCAATACAGTCATTACCATAGAGGCTGAGCAGAGTTGACAACCCCAGGATATTACATTTCCGTCCATCTGTAATAGGAGCAGGTGGCCGCTGTCAAGAGGTTTCTAAGAACATGTTTCTTTAATTAATTTGGATGTGTGTGTGTATTTTTTTTAACACTTTGACAATTTATATTCTATCAATAGGGATGTTTTGAGTGCCCAGGGATGAGAGCAGGTTGAATCAGAATCAGAATACCGTTATTAGTCCCACAGAGGGGAAATGTGCAGCGTTACAGCAGGAAAGAGCCACAGACAGCTTATTGTTGCATATCTTACATGCGTTAAAAAAAGTACTAAGTTATAATATAATAAACAATATGCTAACAAAAGATTAAAACTGAAAAAGTGACATCATTTTCAAAAATACAGATCAAAAACAAATCAAATCCTGTAGCAGTTCTTAGGATTTAGCAGCCCGGTATATATTACAGTTATTAAAGATGGTGTATATAAAGTATATATTGCACATAAAGCACATATTGCACATAGTTTGACGGTATTTAACAGCAGCAAGTTACACAATTTACAAAATACAAGATACATACCTTGTAACAAGGGTTTAGCAGCCAGGTATAAATTACAGTTATTAACGGCATATATATATTGATTGATTTAGCGGCCAGGTATAAATTACAGTTATTAATGGCATATATATATATATATATATATATATATATATATTGCACATATAGCACATATTGCCCAAAGTTGGTTTGTATTTAACAGCAAGGGGTGTTATAGTCTGTGTTGTGGTGTGTGTAGGAGGGTCTACTAGGGGCAGTGCTGGTTGTAAAGTCTAACCGCTGCAGGAAGGAAGGACCGGCGGTATCTCTCCGAACACAGTTACTTTAGAGAATGTGTGTAAATACAGTATATACAAGTACTGTAACTATGTTTTGCTCAAGGGCCAGTCTACCTTTTTGACCACATATAATTGCACCAGAAGACAGCTAAAGTTAGCGAGTAGTTTCCCTGTAAGCCCACGCTCTTCAGCCAGCACATTGTGCTGATGTGGGTGTCTCTGATCCAATGAATATTTATGCAGAGCTTGAGGTAAAGGTAATTTTATATGTACTAAAACCTCCCTTGTGTTTCGTTAATGAGAATTTGTTTTTGTTTTTTAGCTCCATAACAAATGTATATGGATTTGGAAAGATCAATTCTTTTTTATATTGTATGAAATTTGTTAAACCTTGCTCCCAAGACCGAACCACCCACCACCCACACATGACTTACGTCTGGCAGATTTTTTTACCAGCAGAAAAAAACTCCTTTGTGACTTTTTTTGTTGACCGGACTGAATTTATTTTCCAGTGCTATCTGTGGGTGTGGAAGTTTAGAATAGAATCACGAAAACCTGTCCTGCAGTCGCTTGCCTCAACTCTTTATTTATTTATGCGCTTTAGATGTGTCCCAGTCTGCTCGCCTCATAGGCCAGGAATGGTCTTGAATGGTCAGGGGATGGTTTATTTTGCTAGAAAAGGCATGCGTATTCCTTCCTACCAAGCCCCACTGCTCTCTCGTTTGTTTATTCTTCCGGTCCCCTATAGCACAAGGGTCAACTTAAGTCATGTAAATACTTTTTCTGTAGCTCTTTAATAACATTCTGGGCTGAGAAAAGAAACTAAATCTCCAGCCAGAGTCTTATTGCATTAAAGACGCAGCTTATTGTATTACTGTCCTTCTGTGCGTAGCCAGTACTCCCCTACAGATCTTTTTAATCAAGTCCAAATCTTTTTGTATGTAACCTCTGCTTTGAAGCACATAACTGAATTTTAGATGAGAACATTTGAGTCGTTTTTACAGAATCTCCAATTTTTGAACATCTGCTCTATGAG